GTGTGTGTGTGTGTCTGTGTGTCTGTGTGTGCATGTGTGCGTGCGTGTGTGTGTATTTGCCCTCAGGACTTCCTGTCCGACATGGCGATGTGTGAGGTGGATCGCTTCATGGACCGAGAGCACCTCATCTTCAGAGAGAACACTCTGGCCACCAAAGCCATAGAAGAGTACCTCAAACTGATCGGACACAAGTACCTCAAGGACGCCATAGGTGAGCCCCTGACACACACACAGGCACCTGACACATGCACCTGACACACGCGCACCTGACACATGCACCTGACACACATGCACCTGACACACGCGCACCTGACACACGCGCACCTGACACATGCACCTGACACACATGCACCTGACACACACACAGGCACCTGACACATGCAGGCACCTGACACACACGCACCTGACACACATGCACCTGACACACACACGCACCTGACACACACATGCACCTGACACACACACGCACCTGACACACATGCACCTGACACACACGCACACCTGACACACACATGCACCTGACACATACACGCACCTGACACACACACGCACCTGACACACATGCACCTGACACATACATGCACCTGACACACACACGCACCTGACACACATGCACCTGACACACACACGCACCTGACACACATGCACCTGACACACACGCACACCTGACACACACATGCACCTGACACATACACGCACCTGACACACACACGCACCTGACACACATGCACCTGACACATACATGCACCTGACACATGCACCTGACACACACATGCACCTGACACACACGCACCTGACACACATGCACCTGACACATACATGCACCTGACACATGCACCTGACATACACATGCACCTGACACACACGCACCTGATACATGCACCTGACACACGCACCTGACACACATCTGATACACGCACCTGACACATACACCTGACACATGCACATACACCTGACACACGCACCTGACACATGCAAATACACCTGGCACATGCACCTGACACATTCATCTGACACACGTACCTGACACATACACCTTACACATGCACATACACCTGACACATGCACCTGACACATGCACCTGACACATGCACATACACCTGACACATGCACCTGACACATGCACATACACCTGACACATGCACCTGACACACATTCGGGCCTTATACGAGTCAGTGTGTGATGTGTCCCTATGTGTATGTGCCTGTGTGTGTCAGGGGAGTTCATTCGGGCCTTATACGAGTCAGTGTGTGATGTGTCCCTGTGTGTATGTGCCTGTGTGTGTCAGGGGAGTTCATTCGGGCCTTATACGAGTCAGTGTGTGATGTGTCCCTGTGTGTATGTGCCTGTGTGTGTCAGGGGAGTTCATTTGGGCCTTATATTAGTCAGTGTGTGATGTGTCCCTATGTGTATGTGCCTCTGTGTGTCAGGGGAGTTCATTCGGGCCTTATATTAGTCAGTGTGTGATGTGTCCCTATGTGTATGTGCCTCTGTGTGTCAGGGGAGTTCATTCGGGCCTTATATTAGTCAGTGTGTGATGTGTCCCTATGTGTATGTGCCTCTGTGTGTCAGGGGAGTTCATTCGGGCCTTATATTAGTCAGTGTGTGATGTGTCCCTGTGTGTATGTGCCTGTGTGTGTCAGGGGAGTTCATTCGGGCCTTATACGAGTCAGTGTGTGATGTGTCCCTGTGTGTATGTGCCTGTGTGTGTCAGGGGAGTTCATTTGGGCCTTATATTAGTCAGTGTGTGATGTGTGATGTGTGTATGTGCCTGTGTGTGTCAGGGGAGTTCATTCGGGCCTTATACGTGTTGGAGTGTGATGTGTGATGTGTGTATGTGCCTGTGTGTGTCAGGGGAGTTCATTCGGGCCTTATACGTGTTGGAGTGTGATGTGTGATGTGTGTATGTGCCTCTGTGTGTCAGGGGAGTTCATTCGGGCCTTATACGTGTTGGAGTGTGATGTGTGATGTGTGTATGTGCCTCTGTGTGTCAGGGGAGTTCATTCGGGCCTTATACGAGTCAGTGTGTGATGTGTGATGTGTGTATGTGCCTGTGTGTGTCAGGGGAGTTCATTCGGGCCTTATACGAGTCGGAGTGTGATGTGTGATGTGTGTATGTGCCTGTGTGTGTCAGGGGAGTTCATTCGGGCCTTATACGTGTTGGAGTGTGATGTGTGATGTGTGTATGTGCCTGTGTGTGTCAGGGGAGTTCATTCGGGCCTTATACGTGTTGGAGTGTGATGTGTGATGTGTGTATGTGCCTCTGTGTGTCAGGGGAGTTCATTCGGGCCTTATACGTGTTGGAGTGTGATGTGTGATGTGTGTATGTGCCTGTGTGTGTCAGGGGAGTTCATTCGGGCCTTATACGAGTCGGAGTGTGATGTGTGATGTGTGTATGTGCCTGTGTGTGTCAGGGGAGTTCATTCGGGCCTTATACGAGTCGGAGTGTGATGTGTCCCTGTGTGTATGTGCCTGTGTGTGTCAGGGGAGTTCATTCGGGCCTTATACGAGTCGGAGTGTGATGTGTGATGTGTGTATGTGCCTGTGTGTGTCAGGGGAGTTCATTCGGGCCTTATACGTGTTGGAGTGTGATGTGTGATGTGTGTATGTGCCTGTGTGTGTCAGGGGAGTTCATTCGGGCCTTATACGTGTTGGAGTGTGATGTGTGATGTGTGTATGTGCCTGTGTGTGTGTCAGGGGAGTTCATTCGGGCCTTATACGAGTCGGAGTGTGATGTGTGATGTGTGTATGTGCCTGTGTGTGTCAGGGGAGTTCATTCGGGCCTTATACGAGTCGGAGTGTGATGTGTGATGTGTGTATGTGCCTGTGTGTGTCAGGGGAGTTCATTCGGGCCTTATACGAGTCGGAGTGTGATGTGTGATGTGTGTATGTGCCTGTGTGTGTCAGGGGAGTTCATTCGGGCCTTATACGAGTCGGAGTGTGATGTGTCCCTGTGTGTATGTGCCTGTGTGTGTCAGGGGAGTTCATTCGGGCCTTATACGTGTCGGAGTGTGATGTGTGATGTGTGTATGTGCCTGTGTGTGTCAGGGGAGTTCATTCGGGCCTTATACGAGTCGGAGTGTGATGTGTGATGTGTGTATGTGCCTGTGTGTGTCAGGGGAGTTCATTCGGGCCTTATACGAGTCGGAGTGTGATGTGTGATGTGTGTATGTGCCTGTGTGTGTCAGGGGAGTTCATTCGGGCCTTATACGAGTCGGAGTGTGATGTGTGATGTGTGTATGTGCCTGTGTGTGTCAGGGGAGTTCATTCGGGCCTTATACGAGTCGGAGGAGAACTGTGAGGTTGACCCCATGAGGATTCCTCCGTCCGTCCTCTTGGACCATCAGGCAAACCTGCGCATGTGCTGTGAACTCGCCCTCTGCAAGATCTTCAACTCTCAGTGGTGGGTGAGCGCCTGTCCCTCTGTGTCCTATATATGTCCTTTACATGGCCTGTCTCTGTCCTCTGTCTCTGTGTCTCTGCGTCCTCTGTCTCTGTCCTCTGTTCTCTGTGCCTCTGTCTCTGTGTCTCTGTGTCCTCTGTCTCTCTGTCCTTTGTCTCTGTGTCCTCTGTCTCTGTATCTCTGTGTCCTCTGTCTCTGTCCTTTGTCTCTGTGTCCTCTGTCTATGTGCCTCTGTGTCCTCCATCTTTCTGTTCTCTGCCTGTGTCTCTGTGTCCTCTGTCTCTGTCCTCTGTGTCTCTGTGTCTCTGTGTCCTCTGTCCTCTGTCTCTGTATCTCTGTGTCCTCTGTCTCTGTCCTTTGTCTCTGTGCCTCTGTCTCTGTGTCTCTGTCTCTGTGTCTCTGTGTCCTCTGTCCTCTGTCTCTGTATCTCTGTGTCCTCTGTCTCTGTCCTCTGTCTCTGTCCTCTGTCTCTGTGTCTCTGTCTCTGTGTCTCTGTCCTCTGTCTCTGTCTCTGTGTCTCTGTGTCTCTGTCTCTGTGTCTCTGTCTCTGTCTCTGTCTGTCTCTGTGTCTCTGTGTCTCTGTCTCTGTGTCTCTGTCTCTGTGTCTCTGTCTCTGTGTCTCTGTGTCTCTGTCTCTGTGTCTCTGTCTCTGTGTCTCTGTGTCTCTGTGTCTCTGTGTCTCTGTGTCTCTGTCTCTCTGTCTCTGTGTCTCTGCGTCCTCTGTCTCTGTGTCTCTGCGTCCTCTGTCTCTGTGTCTCTGCGTCCTCTGTCTCTGTCCTCTGTCTCTGTGTCTCTGTCTCTGTGTCTCTGTCCTCTGTCTCTGCGTCCTCTGTCTCTGTGTCTCTGTCTCTGTGTCTCTGTGTCTCTGTCTCTGTGTCTCTGTCTCTGTGTCTCTGTCCTCTGTGTCTCTGTGTCTCTGTCTCTGTGTCTCTGTGTCTCTGCGTCCTCTGTCTCTGTGTCTCTGTCTCTGTCTCTGTCTCTTCTCTGTGTCTCTGTCTCTGTGTCTCTGTCCTCTGTCTCTGCGTCCTCTGTCTCTGCGTCCTCTGTCTCTGTGTCTCTGTCTCTGTGTCTCTGTGTCTCTGTGTCTCTGTCTCTGTGTCTCTGTCTCTGTCTCTGTCTCTGTGTCTCTGCGTCCTCTGTCTCTGTGTCTCTGTCTCTGTGTCTCTGTGTCTCTGTCTCTGTCTCTGTGTCTCTGTCTCTGTGTCTCTGTCTCTCTGTCTCTGTGTCTCTGTCTCTGCGTCCTCTGTCTCTGCGTCCTCTGTCTCTGTGTCTCTGTCTCTGTGTCTCTGTCTCTGTGTCTCTGTCTCTGTGTCTCTGTCTCTGTGTCTCTGTGTCTCTGTATATTCTCGTGTTTAAACTCTAAACTTTTGTCATAGTTCATGTTTTCCTTGTTGATCGTCTCTGTTCTGTTTTAAATCTCTAAACTAAAGTGTCAGAGTGAAGGTTTGTGGAGGTTTTGTTTTGTGGAGGTTTTGTTTTGTGGAGGTTTTGTTTTGTGGAGGTTAAAATGTAAAGCGACTCGTGGACGTGAGCTCCTCATGCTGCTGCGCTGACGCTCTCACACTTTGGTGTAAATTGAGGATTATAAATGTGGTTGTTTGTTCACGAGTCCAAACACAGTGTAAATAATAATACTTTGATTTGCACCAGAAATATTCAGATCATGTTGATCATGGACCTGATCAGTTTTGGAGATTTTAATGATTCTTTTACAGGTCAAATTGAGGTCAGCAGCCTTCCTGTCCTTCAAAATGAAATAAAATGACACAAAATGGAGTCAGTGGTTTGTGTTTGGTTTGTGCTGTAAAAGTTTGTTTTGTCTGATTCTGGTTCTTAAAATATGAAGTTTAATTTTGGGCCGATGACATCGTCCAGTAGCCAGGCCGGCGCCCCCTAGTGTCTCCGCTCAACTTCATTTCTCTCCAGCTCTAGATCAGGAATCAGAAAACACTTGATGGTTTTTAAAAACTCTGGAAGTACGAGTTCGGGCTCCAGCCAATCAGAGAAGAGACAGACGTTCTGTGTTGGCGACGATTCCCGAGATCGAGGATTTAAACCGGAACAAAGAGAATGTTTGGTGAATTTGATCTCGGGGAAAGTCGTTCTTGTTCTTCTTCCTACAGGATTTGGAGCTTTACAAACGTCACGACCAAACAGCAGCGACTGGTTCAATAAAAAAAAGTCCTGTCTCCTGTTGAGCGAACGAATCCTAAAGCAGCAGGTCACACGGTTTCCACCAAGTGAAACCAGCTCACGAATCAGACTGATCGTCCCCAAAATGTGAAACAGCCTTAAAACAACAGAAAATTAAACCAGATGTTTGTATTTTTAGTTTGTGTTGTTTTGTGTGTGACTGTTTTCTTTTGTGTGAGTTTATTTCTAAAATTATTCATTATTATTTTTGTGTAAATAATATTTTGGTCATTTCTGTTCAGCTGACGACAACGACTTTAACAAAACTTCACAAAACCAGAAACGACCCGAGTCTGCGGAAAAGTCTGTGTTATTATAGAAAATATGAATCAAAATCAAATTACTAAAGACTGACACAGACTTTATAAAAGATTTGAAAATATCTTAAAAACTAAAGCAGCACAAACGAAGCATAAACGATTGACGTAGTTTTGGTGGAGGTTTGTGTTTGATGGGGAAGACTTCACGCAGGTCGTTAGAACAGACACCAGGAAACAGCATCATATAAGTCTTTAAATCTTTGTGTGTTTGTGTGTGTTTGTGTGTGTGTGTGTGTGCGTGTGCGTGGGTGTGCGTCCAGCGTGTTCCCTCGCGAGCTGAAGGAGGTGTTTGCGTCCTGGAGAGTGCGCTGTGCCGAGCGCGGTCGTGAGGACATCTCCGAGCGCCTGATCAGCGGCTCTCTCTTCCTGCGCTTCCTGTGTCCGGCCATCATGTCCCCGTCGCTCTTCAACCTGACGCAGGAGTACCCCGACGAGCAGACCTCGCGCACCCTCACGCTCATCGCCAAGGTCGTGCAGAACCTCGCCAACTTCTCCAAGTACGAAACCGCCGCCCACCGTCACTCAAACTCTGAAGAATCTAAAGAGGGTTTCACTCCTGTGGCGTCCAGGGTCTGACAAACGCTTTTCTCTGTGGAGTTTGTTTGTATCACTTTGTCTGGAATGTTCCACAGTTTGGCATTAAAACTTTCTATCATCGTGGAGACCAAAGCAGACCAAGTTCCAGGTCAGATCTGTGGAGAGGCGACACCGCTCACAGTCAGAATGTTTGTTTTTAGGTGTTTTTGACTTTAAAATCACCTGTAACTGAATAAATGTAAAGTGGAGCTGTTTAAAGTCACACTGTGGAACATTCCAGACAGAGCAGTGACGTCTCCATAGAAACAAGCAGGTGACTGACGCCCAACTAAAAAGTTACACTTTATTTTACAGTTTTATTTTAATACAATCTGACCATAAAGACCTGAGAATTAAAACATGCTCTTTAAATCACGTTTGTAAATTATTATTTTTTTCAGACAATTTAATTAGTAATTTTTTATTAATCATTGCGTTTGTTTATACAGCGCATTTCAAAACGCCCAAAGGTTTTACAGATCATTATTCACACACACAACACTTTCACACTAGGCATTGTGGGTGAAGTGTCTTGCCTAAAGGCACAACAAAAGTTTTTTTTTTTTAAACTTATTTGTCAGTGTTTGCTAATGTAAAATGTGTCCTGTGTGTGTGCCTGTGCCCGTGTGTGTCCTGTGTGTGTCCTGTGTGCCTGTGCCCGTGTGTGTCCTGTGTGTGTCCTGTGTGTGTGCCTGTGCCCGTGTGTGTCCTGTGTGCCTGTGCCCGTGTGTGTCCTGTGTGCCTGTGCCCGTGTGTGTCCTGTGTGCCTGTGCCCGTGTGTGTCCTGTGTGCCTGTGCCCATGTGTGCCTCTGCCCGTGTGTGCCTGTGCCCGTGTGTGCCTGTGTGCCTGTGCCCGTGTGTGTCCTGTGTGCCTGTGCCCGTGTGTGTCCTGTGTGCCTGTGCCCGTGTGTGCCGTGTGTCCTGTGTGTGTCCTCTGTGCCTGTGTGTGCCTGTACCCGCGTGTGTCCTGTGTGTGTCCTGTGTGCCTGTGCCCGTGTGTGCCTGTGCCCGTGTGTGCCTGTGCCCGTGTGTGCCCTGTGTGCTGCAGGTTTGGCACTAAAGAGGAGTACATGTGCTTCATGAATGAGTTCCTGGAGATGGAGTGGTGCACCATGCAGCAGTTCCTCTTCGAGATCTCCAACCTGGACAGTGTGAGCAGCGCCGGCGGCTTCGAGGGCTACATCGACCTGGGCCGCGAGCTCTCCATCCTGCACAGCCTCCTCTGGGAGGTCCTGGCGCTGCTCAGCAAGGTACAGCGCCCACGACACGCCCACGACACGCCCACAACACGCCCACGACAACCACACGCCCACGACAACCACACGTCCACGACAACCACACGTCCACGACAACCACACGTCCACGACAACCACACGTCCACGACAACCACATGTCCACAGCACCGTAATGACACGCCCACGACAACGACAACGACACGCCCACGACAACCACACGCCCACGACAACCACACGCCCACGACAACCACACGCCCACGACAACCACACGCCCACGACAACCACATGTCCACAGCACAGTCATGACACGCCCACGACACGCCCACAACAACAATGCGCCCACGACACGACAACAACACACCCACGACAACGACACACCCACAACAACGACACACCCACAACACACCCACGACAACGACACGACAGCAACACACCCACGACAACGACACGCCCACGACAACCACAGGCCCATGACATGACAACAACACACCCACAACACACCCACGACAACAACACGACAACGACACGACAACGACACGACAACAACACACCCACGACAACAACACGACAACGACACGCCCACGACAACAACAGGCCCACAGCACAGTCATGACACGCCCACAACACTCCCACGCCCACGACACTCCCACAACAACAATGCGCCCACGACACGACAACAACACACCCACAACACACCCACGACAACGACACGACAACGACACGACAACAACACACCCACGACAACGACACGACAACGACACGACAACAACACAACACGACAACGACACGACAACACACACCCACGACAACGACACGACAACGACACGACAACAACACACCCACGACAACGACACGACAACAACACACCACGACAACGACACGACAACGACACGACAACAACACCACCCACGACAACGACACGACAACACAACACCCACGACAACGACACGACAACGACACGACAACAACACACCACGACAACGACACGACAACAACACCACCACGACAACGACACGACAACGACACGACAACAACACACCCACGACAACGACACGACAACAACACACCCACAACACACCCACGACAACGACACGACAACGACACGACAACAACACACCCACGACAACGACACGACAACGACACGACAACAACACACCCACGACAACGACACGACAACAACACACCCACGACAACGACACGACAACGACACGACAACAACACACCCACGACAACGACACGACAACAACACACCCACGACAACGACACGACAACGACACGACAACAACACACCCACGACAACGACACGACAACACACGACACACACCACGACAACGACACGACAACGACACGACAACAACACACCACGACAACGACACGACACAACACACCCACGACACGACACGACAACGACACGACAACAACACACCCACGACAACGACACAACAACAACACGCCCACGACAACGACACGACAACGACACGACAACGACACGCCCACGACACGACAATGACACGCCCACAACAAGACACGCCCACAACAACGACACGCCCACGACACACCCACGACAACAACAACGACACGCCCACGACAACGACACACCCACGACAACGACACGCCCATGACAACAACAACAACACGGCCACGACAACGACACGTCCACCTGGTGATGTCACGAGGTGGAGGTTTACGAGTGAACAGCTCCTTTTCCCTCCAGTTCAGTGGAGATCGACAGTTTCTGAGATGAAATGATGTAAAAGATTCTAGTGAAGGAGAAGAAGTGAGTCCTGTATTACCATCTGATGACATCACCAGGTGGAACAGGGTGTTTTTTTGTTTATGTGTTAAACATGTGAATGAAACAAAACACATCTCCAGGTCTCCAGGTCAGAATTAATTTAATAAAACCCAAACTTTTCAGTCGTCAACAGTTCACCTGAAAAACTCCAAAACTCCAGACACATGAGGAGCTTTTGACCTGAAGTTCTCAGCTTTTTATTGGCGTTGACCGATACTAACGAATCAACGACCAAGAGAGAAAAACACCTCTCCACGCTCAGTTTACACCAGCACCAAACTCTGACCACACATGCATCAGGAATTTTGGACTTTAGGATGTGTCTATTGTCAAAGTCGATCTTTTCAAGTCTTTTGAACCATTTCACTTTTGTTTCTGGTTCTGATATTGTCATATTTTAGTTTTGGGATTCAGACGTCGTAATTGTTGTGGTTGTTGGATCCAAACAGTGGAAAACGACTCCAGAAATGTGTTTGTGAACTTCATAAATGCAAAAGTGAATCAGATGTGTGTGACTCAAACCTCCGTTCAAACTGTTTCTCTTCCCAACGGAATTGAAAAATAGTGAAAGGTGAAGGTGATGGGCAGGATTGATCCACAGGAAGAACCAAAAGGAAACATTTGTCTGACTAAGAAATCATCCTGAGTTTACAGAGAACATTTTGTATGTGGAGCCACAACAAAACAAAATCCTGATCCTTCGCTCAACCTCGGTTACGAATTTAAAAAGTCAACGCCAAAGTGAAAGTCTCCAACTGTTCACCAAGAAACACCTTCCACTGCAAAGACCAAGACGTGATGTTTGTGTAAAACCACAAGAACAAGAAAGTGCAGCTCAGTCTGTTTGTCTTCTGCTCCTCTACATTAACAAACAGGATTTTTTTTTGTCGTCGCTCCACATACAAAATGTTCTCTGTAAACTCTGGATGATTTCTTAGTCAGACAAATGTTTCCTTTTTGGTTCTTGTGGATCAATCCTGCCCATCACCTTCACCTTTCACTGTTTTTCAATTCCGTTGGGAAGAGAAACAGTTTGAAGGTTTGAGTCACACACATCTGATTCACTTTTGCATTTATGAAGTTCACAAACTTCTGAAGTCCGTTTCTCGAGTCGTTTTCAACCTCACAATGACGATGTCCGAATCCCAAAACTAAAATATGACAATATCAGAACCAGAAACAAAAGTGAAATGGTTCAAAAGACTTGAAAAGATCGACTTTGTCAATAGACACGTCCCACTGGGAAAACAAACATGGAGGTTTATTGGAGGATCCTTCCCAATATGAACTGCACAATGACTGGAAGTTTGAAATTCAGGATGTGTGTTTTGTTTGTAGTAAATAAGTTTGACCCGAGCTGAGCGAGTCAAAAGTCTGTGAGGACCTGAGTGTCTTTACAAAATAAAAAATACAAACAAGAATCTGTTAAAGTTTAAAAAGGTCCAAACCAAGATGAACTTTAGACTTTGGACTTCACCAGAACTAAACCAGGGCCCAGTTCCAGCAGGACTCGCTCTGGTCTTACAGTGGGATCATCTCCAGTGGGACCTTCTGTTTGTGGAGATGTTCGTCACACAGATTTGATTGTGAAATGTGTTTTGTTGTTTCTTTTGACACGTGTATCCGGCTGGAACATAGATTCTTTGTGATGTGCAGGACGCGATCATCAAACTGGGTCCGTTGCCGCGTCTCCTGACCGACATCAGCATGGCCCTGAGGAACCCCCACCTCCAGAGGCAGCCCAGCCACCAGGAGCGCCTCTCCAGACCCAGCTTCACCCGCGGAGTCTCCTCAGACTTTCACAACCTCCTGATGAGGGACCTCAACAGGTGCTCTCTCCACACACCTCCACCTGACACCTCCACCTCCACCTGACCTCCACCTGACACCTCCACCTGACACCTCCACCTGACACCTCCACCTGACCTCCACCTGACACCTCCACCTGACCTCCACCTGACCTCCACCTGACACCTCCACCTGACACCTCCACCTGACCTCCACCTGACACCTCCACCTGACACCTCCACCTGACACCTGACACCTCCACCTGACCCTCCACCTGACCTGACCACCTCCACCTGACACCTCCACCTGACACCTCCACCTGACACCTCCACCTGACACCTCCACCTGACACCTCCACCTGACCTCCACCTGACACCTCCACCTGACCTCCACCTGACACCTCCACCTGACCTCCAACTGACACCTCCACCTCCACACCTCCATCTGACCTCCACCTGACTGTCCACACCTCCACCTGATACCTCCACCTGACACCTCCACCTGACCTCCACCTGACTGTCCACACCTCCACCTGATACCTCCACCTGACCCTCCATCTCCAGGATCGTTCTGTGCAGTAGAAATCACAGTAGTTGTAGTTTTGTTCTGAGTCACAGCGGCCTCCATGTTGGACACAGTGTTTCCCGTAAGACTCAGTGCAGTTTGAGCTCCTCCAAAAATCATGTTTCACCAGGAAATTCATTTTGAATTTTTTATCTTTAGAACAGGGTTCCCACGGTCATGGAAATCTTAGAAAAGTCATGGATTTTTGTGAATTAAATGAAAGTTTTGGAAAAGTCATGAAGTTTTTGTCCCTCAGCTCCAGTGTTGTGTTCAGTTTTCATGAATCTGTTCTGATTATTTCCAAACATCTGCACCTTTTGTTTAAAGAGGCGACAGTAAATCCACTGACAGGATTTAAAATGTTAAAAACTATAATCCCAAACCATAAGGTGAGAGGAAAGAGTTAAACATTTCAGATTTAGACCTAAAAGTCTGATCAGTTCTACACATGTAGGTGCTGGAAAGTCATGGAAAATTCACTTTAGGTCATGAAAAAGTCATGGAAAAGTTTTGAAATGTTGTCAGTGAAAAAGAGTGAGAATCCTGTAAGAAATGAAATATTTATAAGAACAAGTTTCACCAAATGAACTACACAGTGTGCGCCCTCAAGTGGCCACTAGTGTGTACTACACTTAATGATTTAAAGCAGGAGTCTGGGACCTGCAGCCTCGTCCAAACAGCTCACACACACATTGTCCTGAATAACTCAGATTTGATGAATGAAATGCCTTTTATTATTGTGAATCATTTTGGTGCCCGACTTTGGCACTCAGAAATAAATAATGTTTTATGTTTTAAGTTTTGCCATGGCTCTTTTTTATACTGTTCTTGCGATCAGTAAAATGAGCAGCTCTCTGGGATTTTCATTCTGTAAATCTCACTCACCCGAGGAAAAGGCCGGAGACTCCTGATTTAAACTAATAATAATAAGTCAACGGTAACAACATTTTTCTGTCACTTCTGTTTAGCTTTCTTAGTTTTAAATTCTTATTACAATTTAAACGTTTAACTTTCACATTTACATTTATGAACTTGAAAAGAAAATGAGTGAAACTGAACTTTACTCGTGAAAGGATCGTGCGTTTTTCCTGTTTCATTGTTTATAGAATTAAAATGACCAAATAAACAAAGTTTTGGTCCCAAGAGAAGAAGAATCTTGGAAGCACATCTGATGCTTCTGACGAGTCTTCATGAAGCTTCTGTGATTCTGTGTGTCGTGATGAAGATGTGGCTCAGTTCTTCTTCTGTTCTTCTGTTCTTCTGTATTTCTGTAGACGTCAGGCTCAGTTCTTCTTCTCTTCTTCTCTGTGCAGCTCTGTAGACATCACGCGCTTGCCTTCCCCCACCTCCACCGGAGGCATGATGCCCTCTCGCTCTCAGATGAGTTTTCAGGAGCGTGACCTTCAGCGGGCGTCGTCCAAAGACATATTTTATATGTCCCGCCCTCCCCTGGCGCGCTCCAGCCCCGCCTACTGCACGAGCAGCTCCGACATCACAGAGCCCGACGCCAAGGTGAGTAGTGCCCGCCGTGCACAGCATCGTCCATCTGTAGTCTGAGCCGGTCTGTGCCAGTGGTGGGTATGACGGGTATGACGTGCATGGAGGTCATACTGAGTAGAATCTAGTGTGTCATGACATCTGCTTTCTCCCACTGATCCTCATGCAACTCATCCTTGAGGTATTTCCTGGGAAATACGATACCACGCCTGGCGGTAAAACACCCTCACCCTCACCCCTCATTTCTGCCCACCCAACATCCAGATCTAATCAAATATACGGGCACTGCCCAGTACCATGCTGTAAATGATCAGTGTCAATCAGAGTGTCTGTGGTGGACCTCCAGGATTCCAGAATGAACAGCGTGTCTAACCTGCAGTCGGTGGACATGCTCAACTCCTCCCAGGCCTCCATCGCCGGTATGGGCAGCTTCGGAGGGCTGAGCGGCGGGGGTGGCCTGGGGTCCGGGCTGGGCTCCGGGCTGAGCCAGCTGCGGGCGGGGGGCAGGCTGTCGGCCGGTTCTGGCTCCAGTATCTCGGGGGGCCTCCGCCTGGGCCAGCTCGGCCAGATGGGCACCACCACCGACTCGCTGTCTCAGCAGCAGCAGCAACAGGCCGCCGCCATGCGCTACCCGCTTTCCTTCCAGAACCCCCTCTTCCACCTGGCGACGGCCGACGGCCCTCAACACCAGCACGGCCGGGGCCCCCCGGCGCCGCTGCTCCTGGCCCCAGAGCCGGACGCCTCTCACCAGTCCTACATCCCACAGTTCGCCCACGGGGGGTTCTCCCGCAGCGAGGACCTGTCCACCCTCCGGACCCGGGACACCCACCTCGGCCAGCCCAGCATCATCCACTCCCACAGCTACAGTGACGACTACACCCGCGCAGACTTCGCCCGCAGGCAGATGTCCATGCACGCGCAGGTACGCCGGGAAGAAAGGGGCGGGGACAAGGGGACAGTGTGGATTGTGACTTAAAGTTGATTCTAGCGTCTGTGTTCAGGTTTTAGTTCGCGCTGAATTTACAAACTCCTCGTTCGTGTTTTTACCTTTGACCCTTTAACCTTCTCGTCTGTTCCAGGAGAACCTTCAGCAGATGGGCATGACCTCTCAGACCGGGACCTCCCACTCATCTCTGGCGACCACGCCCCCCTCCACGGTGCAGCCGATGCGGCAGAGCTCCGTGGCCCCGCCCCCCGCGCAGCGCATGAAGTCTCAGACGTCTCACCAGCTGTCGGTGAGCTCGGCCGCGGCTCCGCCCCCCGCCAAAACCCGCCCCCCGAGCGCCAACCTGCTGCAGTCTCCGGAGTCGGCCTACACCCGGCAGCACTCGCGCCAACTCTCCGTCAAAGACAACACCGCCCCGGGTCTGCCCCACCAGCAGAGCTCTGCCCGGGAGAGCCAGAGCCCCCAGGGCACCACCAGCCCCAGCGCCCAGCACTCGCCTCAGCAGCAGATGCCCCAGAAGCACCTGCTCAAACCCAGCATGGCCAAACCGGTGAGGCTCTTTAGCTTCATATCCTTATCTCACTCTCCAGCACCTCCTCACAACATCTCAGTGTCCTCCACCTCCTCACAACATCTCAGTGTCCTCCACCTCCTCACAACATCTCAGTGTCCTCCACCTCCTCACAACATCTCAGTGTCCTCCACCTCCTCACAACATCTCAGTGTCCTCCACCTCCCCAGAACATCTCAGTGTCCTCCACCTCCTCACAACATCTCAGTGTCCTCCACCTCCTCACAACATCTCAGTGTCCTCCACCTCCTCACAACATCTCAGTGTCCTCCACCTCCCCAGAACATCTCAGTGGCCTCCACCTCCCCAGAACATCTCAGTGTCCTCCACCTCCTCACAACATCTCAGTGTCCTCCACCTCCCCAGAACATCTCAGTGTCCTCCACCTTCCCAGAACATCTCAGTGTCCTCCACCTCCCCAGAACATCTCAGTGTCCTCCACCTCCTCACAACATCTCAGTGTCCTCCACCTCCTCACAACATCTCAGTGTCCTCCACCTCCTCACAACATCTCAGTGTCCTCCATCACTTCCTTTTAGAAAATAAACATTAATTATTATTTTCATTCAGCTGTCGTGTTTCTGGAATTTCATGACATCATTTTCACAGATCTTTATTTATTTCACCATCTCCTCGTCCTCCAGCAGAGTTCAAACCGTAGACTGTAAATGGACGTTCTTTTCGTTCTTCAGCCTGAAGGCACTTTTTTTTTTTTTTGGTGACACTCAAAGTTGGTGACAGCACAAAGTTCTGCTCACCTGACGAGTCGAGAACAAACCACAAGAACTGAACAACAGGAGCTGGTCGAACAAAATAACATAATTTTATTCGTCCAGCTCTGGTGCAAAAACAAACTTCTGATGTTCTTCTGAAGTGTGAAAAGGCCTTTATACAGTCCATGGTTTAAATCAGAGGGATTCTAGAATATTCCGATGTAAACTCAGACTGAACATGTTTCCTTTCGCTGCAGATTTCCCAAACCCCACAGACGCTGAGCGCACCTGCCAACGAGCGCACTGTGGCCTGGGTGTCCAACATGCCGCACCTGTCGGCCGACATCGAGAGCTCCAGGATCGACCGGGAGGAGTTCAAACTGAAGGAGTACTCCAAAAGCATGGACGAGTCCCGCATGGACCGGGTAGGTGTCAGGGCGGGCGTCACACCTGCCGACTTCAGACTAAAGGTTCTTTTAAACCACCATGTTTGTTTTTGACGTAAATTGAGCGTGCATCTCTGTGATTGGTTAATCCACCCATCAATCACATCCTCTGAAGTCAGGACATGTCTTTGTGAAGTTTGGTCAGAGCTCGTGGTTCTGGCTCGTCAGGAAAACTCACTGATGGAAAAACTTCTTCTTACATTGAGTGTTTTTACATGCATCAATAACCTGTTATTATATATATATATATATATATATATATATATATATATATATATATATATATATATAACAGGTTTTTTGAGTATCCCTGTTTCTTCATGGTGCATGTAAACGCAGTAACCCAGTTTCAGTATTCTGATAGTAACCGGGTTACTTGTGGCATGTAAACGCAGTATCCCGGTTACTGCAACTTAAAGTTGAGTCACATGTGTCCAAAAGACACTTTCCAGTCTTTTCACCACAACAGTAGTGACATAAATAAACTGACCAACATAAATAAAGTGACCAAACGAGGGAAATGACTGTAAAATAAAGAGCTGCGCTAAACCTGCACATGTACAATCTGCACTCGTGTGACGCTGAAAAGTTAAAACATGAACTATCTCCTGTACAACACACACACAGAACAGACTCACCATCATCAGCACCTCTTCTGTCACAAAAACAACTCACATAATCCACAGAGTCGAGTCTTTTAGTCCAAAAGAAGCTGATCACATCAGCGGCACGAGGAGCAGCCTTTTTATCAGCGCTAACAGTTTATGCTAATTAGCGTTTTAAGCATAATTAAGTTTAATTTCTGTAAAACGTAAACAAAGCTGAATTATATGATCAAACTGACTGATGTGTCTATAGTGTTTATGGTTTATATGTTGTAAAGTTGAGTTTATTTAAGCAGAAGATTTGAATGAAGAATCTGTTGGTTTGATGTGTGCAGTGGATTGTGGGAGATCTCGTAGCTCCTTAGCTTCTTATGCTAAAGGAGCTCACGGTTTGTATTTTTCCTGGTTTATTAAATTGATTTAAGTTCATTTTTGCGCTTGTGCATTTGTAAGATTATGTCAAGAAACCGGGATACTCCATTTGATCATGTACACGCAGATATGAGTGTCCTGGTTTCTCAGTGCACATGTAAACACAGTAACACAAATACTGACAGAACCGGGATATGATCATAACCAGGACACTGATGTGCATGTGAAGCACTCATTATTTCTCGTCTGGTCTGATGGTGTGTTTGTGCTGGTGGGATTCAGGCCTGTGAGTTTTGGTCCAAACTAAAAAACAGTTCGAGCTTCAGTCTGTCGTTGTTGTCTTTCCTTGATCTGGTCGTGGGTTTTTTTAATTTATATTTGACAGAAAATTTCATAACAGAAACAAACCCGTAGCTCTTGCACATTTGTACATTAAACCTTTGTGTCGTCTTTGTCTTTACGTTTAACATTAAAATTAAGACACAAAATGACCCAGACACACGTCGTATACAGACATATTTACTCCTCTTTTTCATTTAACTTGATCAGTTTTTAAATGTTTACATGTTTGAGATTTAAACTGACAGCTCATCAAACGTTTCCGTTTTTTTAAGCAGCCACAAATTTTCTGAAGCTCTCTTTAAAGTTCCTCCTGGCTAGCTCGCCATCTTCTGAGCACTACAGCGCTCATTTATGTATCACAGGAAACAGGATCAGAAACTAGATTCTCTCTAGAAGGAAAATGAAACAGCGCTCAGTAAAACGAGACAAAATTGTGGTGTTACCCAAAATACTGAGTGTCACTGAGTCATATACACATTACTACACATTATAATATTTACAGTTTTAAGAGCACTCGAGTTACAGTCAGAGACAGAGCTGACACAGTTAACGCGGTGAAAGAGTTTGTATAAAGTGACTTTAAAATCCACGTTCAGTGCTTTAAACTCAGCAGTTCAGCAGAACTCGTGCTGATTCTAATCGTCCAGTTCCAGGGGGGAACCTGAATTATAATCTGTGTGTGAGGAGGTGGAAAGTAAAAGGTCCCACAGTGTGAGTCCAGAGTCCAGCAGCGATTGGTTCAATAAAAAAAGTCCCGCCTCCCGTCGAGCGAACGAATCATACAGCTGCAGGTCACATGGTTCACACCAAGTGAAACAAAGTGAAACCAACTCAGGAATCAGACTCAAGTCTCAAAACCAAATCTTGTACAACGATGACGACTCTGCAGCGACACTTAACACACACTGGAATCTACAGCCAGGGACAGCTCACACTGTGTGTCTGGACCTCACTCATGTGTGCCTGGGCCTCGCTCATGGCTCTGCGGGGGTTGTGTTCAGGTGAAGGAGTACGAGGAGGAGATCAACTCTCTGAAGGAGCGTCTGCTCATGTCTCATAAGAAGTTGGAGGAATATGAACGACGCCTCATGAGCCAAGAACAACAAACCAACAAGATCCTGCTGCAGTATCAGAACCGACTGGAGGACAGCGAGAGGAGACTGAGGCAGCAGCAGGTCGAGAAGGACTCACAGATCCAGGGCATCATCAGCAGGTAAACGCACAAAAACACACACACAACACACACAATACACACAACACACACACACACAACACACAGTTGTGTGTGTGTGTGTGTGTGTGTTTCTTTCACTGTGTGAGGTTCAGTTTGTTCACAGACAGAAGCTTGAACACTGTAGTGACTTGTGGGATTAATATTTAGAGTGTGTGTAATTACCTTGTGTGAGTGTGAGGCCCTGAGGCCCCTGGGAGCACAGACCTGTGTGTGTGTGTGTTGTGTGTTGTGTGTGTGTGTGTGTTGTGTGTTGTGTGTGTGTGTGTTCTTTGGTCTAAAGTCGTCACCAAAGTCTGGACGCTGCTCACAGTGACCGACACTTCAGATTCACTCCAGGAACCAGCAGTGAAGACAGGTGCAGCACCTGCACAGAGCACCTGCACAGAGCACCTGCACAGAGCACCTGCACCTGCACAGAGCACCTGCACAGAGCACCTGCACACACACTTCTGCAGCCCGTCCTTTTCACTTCTGTGATGTTGAGATGATCCTGGATCAGTCGTGTTCAGACTCTGAAGCTCAAGATGAACTCTGGGTTTGTTCCTCTCATGTTTCTGATGCAGCTGATGAAGCTCTGGAGCTCCTCACCCCGACGAGGTACAGGGTCTGGAGCTCCTCACCCCGACAGGACACAGGGTCTGGAGCTCCTCACATCGACAGGACACAGAGTCTGGAGCTCCTCACCCCGACAGGACACAGGGTCTGGAGCTCCTCACCCCGACAGGACACAGAGTCTGGAGCTCCTCACCCCGACAGGACACAGGGTCTGGAGCTCCTCACCCCAACAGGACACAGAGTCTGGAGCTCCTCACCCCGACAGGACACAGAGTCTGAAGCTCCTCACCCCGACAGGACACAGGGTCTGGAGCTCCTCACCCCGACAGGACACAGAGTCTGGAGCTCCTCACCCCGACAGGACACAGGGTCTGGAGCTCCTCACCCCAACAGGACACAGAGTCTGGAGCTCCTCACCCCGACAGGACACAGAGTCTGGAGAAGTGAAGGCCCCTCACCTCATCTGTGCTGAACTACAGGAGACCAGTCAGACCCAGAGTTTTTCTCATGGAGCTCGACTCAAACGCTCCTCACAGAAGACCATGAGGACAGGACAGGAGGACGCTAACACGTGGGACTGCAGTGTCTGTGGACTGGATCTCAGCGTCTTTACCTCTGGAGCAGAGTCATGTTCCTCAGAGTCTCACTCCAAACAGTTTTTATCTTCTGAGGAATAAATTGAATGTGCACAAACTGGTCTGACCTGGAAAAGATGTTTCATGTTTTTATTTCAGAGCGTCGTGTTTACTGTTTTTACTTTTTTAATAAGACTCTAAACTCTGCTGCGACTTTGACCAGAAACCCTCAGAACGTCATGTCCCTCTGGTTCTTTCATCCGTCCACTGACTCCGGTAAAGTTCAGACTTCTGTTTAGAAAAGTTTTTGGTGTTGTTTATTTTGTACCTGCTCCCTGAAGCACTTTGTGATTTTTATCTGTGAAAAGTGCCGTAGAAATAAAACAAACTTACTCAGGATGTGTAAATATGAAATTCTGATCTTAGTGTCTCATCTTCTTTAATAATAAAAGTGCATCTCCCAGGAACATTCTCTGATGTCTGTCACATGTCCTTAAGGCCCCATTCACACTAGTGTGTATGTGAGTGGTGTTGGTTGTGGGTACAGTGTTCGATGGAACGATCTGGAGCTTCCAGCTCCACGAGTTCATGTTGGTCCAGATGTGACGGGGACTGTGGGACTCCTGAAAACTCTGATACTCTGATGTAGGAGCTGGAGTCTCGTCCTGATTGGACACGACACTGTGACTCGCTCCTTCTGATTCTCTGGGTTTGTGACGTCGTCATGTGACGCTGTTGAGGAAAACAGTTTAAACAAACCAGAGACAAACAGGAAACAGCCGAGATACAAACACTCACTCGTACACGCTCCACGAAAAACCCTGACACACGTCCACAGACTTTACTGTAAACTCCACACCCCGACACACACGACGCTGAGCTTTAGAATGTTTGAGTTTTTATTCACACAGTTGTTCTGTAGTGACTCAGGCTCTAAACTCACCGCCAACCTTGATATTTCTGTGGGTAACATCAAGAAACTACAGCCGCGTGTTAATGTGAAGACGACTACACGTCTACAGCAGGACGTCTACAGCAGGACGTCTGCGCAGCTCCGGCGGGACGTCTGCGCAGCTCCGGCGGGACGTCAGTGCACAGCACTGGCTCTGGAGTTTGTCTCTAGGAAACAGGATCAGACCCGACTCGGCACTTTTAGTTTTACGGTGAAAACAACTGTCTGAATAGGTTTGTATTTACAATAGGCTGATTTTACGTCTGGGAAACGTCAGGATTTACAGAGTAAATTTAAAAGCACAAATGAAGAGTCTCACTGAACCTGGGCTCCTTCAAACGACACAGAACTGCCCCAGGAACAACTGTGCTGACGGTAAATGAACAAAACAACAGACGCATGTTTGAGTGTGTTCTGACGGGGACATGTGTCTGCGCTCACGACGAGCGTCCAGCAGAATGTCCTGCACCTGAAGAGATGAAGAACAGAAGAGCAGCTGCAGAACATGTCTGGATCAGTTTGGTCTTGTTTTAGTTTAGTCATATCAGGTCTAGACTCTTAAAGCTTTAGTATCAGATTCAGTATCAGAAGTGAAAATGTTGGATCAGTCCTCAGATGTTTTTGCTTTAGTTCCTCAGAGTCAAACTGAACAAACTGACACTGACACACTCCTGTTTCTTCTCCTGTTTCTTCTCCTGTTTCTTCTCCTGTTTCTTCTCCTGCTCCACAGACTCATGGCCGTGGAGGACGAGATCCGAGGAGGAGGAGTCAACGAGCCAAAGAGTCGGATATTCGCAGACCAGGTGTGTATGAGTGTGTGTGAGTGTGTGTGTGTATATGTATGTGCGTGTGTGAGTATGTATGTGTTTGTATGAGTATGAGTGTGTGCATGTGTATGTGTGTGTGCGTGTGTGTCTGTGTGTATGTGTGCAGTGCTCGGCAGGTGCGTCCCTGTCCCCTGCTCCCTGTCTGTCCTCTGACTGCCTGATCCTCCCTGAGTCCAGTTCTTGTCCCAGTTTGTTCCTTCCTGTTTGGACTTGGAGCTGTGTGTGGAGCTCGGGTGTTTGCACTGGGCTCCTGCTGGGCCCCTGTGGAGCCGGTGGGGCCTGTGGGGGCCTGTGGGGGCCTGTGGGGGTCCCGCTGCAGCATGTGGGGGCCCGGCTGGAGTCTCTGCTGTGCGTCTGGTGCTGTGGTGTGTTCAGGTGCCTTATAGAAGCGGGTCATTTCATGCTCGCGCTGCTGCTGAGCCTGCGCCTGCCGCATGCCCCGGTGCATCTCTGGTACGTCTGGTTTTCAGGAAACACAAAACTCGAAAGACGAATCAGCTGAAACGCTCTGTGCACAGCAGCGCCCCCTACTGCTCCCGCCACCACGTCTGTCCAGGTTTATCTTGGAGGTTTCACTGCGTCGAGTTGAAGTGAATAAAGTCGTAAAGACGCAGCCGTGAACAGAAGCCGTCACAGTTCAGTTCATTTTCAGTTCAGTTTAGGAACAAAATGCAAAACCATTTGTGTTTTTATTAAACCAACAAAAACAAAACTTTTCAAAAAGTAAAAGTGGAGGTTCCGTGTTGGTGAGGAGCGTGAGGACGCGGTGTGACGACTGTAGTTTCCCAGGATCCTCGTGGTTCAGAGGGACGTGGTCGACTCGGGGGATGTTGTTGTTGTCGCGGCGTCGCTCGAACTATAAAGAAACTCTGTCCCAATCACACACGAGTTCCTCTGAATATTAAAGAGTCGAGCCTCCGTGAAACTGCACATGTAGAAACCCAACGGAAACTCACACAAACTGAACAAACTCCCTCGAGCACAAACCTGCACCGAACGCCCCAAACCCAAACCAGCCCCAACACGTGAACCACTACACTCCTGTACATAAATCATAATAAATATAATAATCTTATCTTCTTGTGATTAATCTGAATTGAACTGGTTGTTTATTTTGTGTTTTATGAAAAGTGTCTGCTGCTGTGCACAGAGATTATTGCTGAAATAAAACAGAACAAGTCGAGTTTAAAACAGGAAGAGCTGTTTTTATTTTTTTTTATTTTTGACTTTTGAGTCACAACTCGAGATAAAACCTGCTGTACGGAACATCTGATCCTGACTCAAGTCCAGCGCTTTTGGTTTATTTTTCATGAGTCGTCTTAAAGCTGCACTACGAAACTTCTCAGCAGGCTTCGCCAACTGCTGGTTTCCATGGAGACTGCCTGGAATGTTCCACAGTAGGGCATTAACCTCCCTGGAGAAAGAACGCAGTGACACCAGACCAGTCAGATCTGTGGAGTGGCTGAGAACGCAGGTTTTTAAAAGTCCCAGCAGATTTACACAAAACCACAGATTTGTCCAAGAAACGTCCAGAGTCTCTGTTTGACCAACGAACACAGAAACTGATCCTGGAACAGAGACAAAAACTGTTTATGTAAAATACAGAAAAGAAAATGTGACTAAACTGACTCATGTTCATCGTGAACGAGCCGAGGGCAGAACAGTCTTCTAGTACAAGAAGATACATTTAATGCCATACTGTGGAACATTCCAGGCAAAACATTGAAGCTCACATGAGGCACCTTAAAAGTTCGACAGTGCAGCTTTAGGTGGTGCTCGGTTTAGTCTCTGCGTGTTGTGGTGGAGCAGTGTGACGCTGTAAAGACCAGTATGGGACCTGCATCCTCATGTGCATGACAACAGACTCCGCACGTGTCCACGAGGACGAGGACGACATGTCCGCTCGCACGAGGGCCACGTGTCCGCTCGCGCGAGGACCACGTGTCCGCTCGCACGAGGACGGCCGTCCTCTGCATGTGTCCAGTCACATGAGGACAGCTGCCCGGCTCCTCATGTCGTGTTTGTGTTGTTTTATTCACTGTTTGATGTTGTTTGTGTCTCCGTGTGTCAGGACACTTCCACCCCGAGCCTCTAGGGGCAAAGCAGAGAAAACAAAACGCAGAAAGTTTTTTTATGGAAGTTACAAAGCACAGTCCCAGCAGGAGTCTGGGCTTTAGAGAGACACTGCACCACTGCCCCGTCTGTAACACCACAACAAAACTACTCAGGAGAAGCTGACAGGAGCTGACAGGAGCTGACAGGAGCAGGCAGGAGCAGGCAGAAGCAGACAGGAGCAGACAGGAGCAGACAGGAGCTGACAGGAGCTGACAGGAGCAGACAGGAGCAGACAGGAGCTGACAGGAGCTGACAGGAGCAGACAGGAGCTGACAGGAGCAGACAGACGCTTCCTCACAGACTCTGTTCACATTTATTGGAAGATGTTTGGAAACGTGCAGACGACGTCTGTCGGTGGATTTCCCGACATTTCCTGCTTTTGTTTCTGGTTCTTGTCATATTTTAGTTTTGGGATTCGGACGTCGTGTTTGGTTGTTGGATCCAACAGCGGAAAACGACTCGAGAAACGTGCGTTTGAACTTTGACCATCAACTAACTGTAAATATGTTACACTTTGGGCTGTTGGACTTTCATTTCCACAGGATGAACGTTCTGTCAGTAAGTCAGGAGTTGTCCCTGGATACGACTCACAGAACATGTTCTCTACAAGTTGAACGAGGGATCGAGATTTTGTTTTGTCGTGGCTCCACATACAAAATGTTCTCTGTAAACTCGGGATGATTTCTTAGTCAGACAAATGTTTCCTTTTTGGTTCTTCCTGTGGATCAATCCTGCCCATCACCTTCACCTTTCACTATTTTTCAATTCCGTTGGGAAGAGAAACAGTTTGAACGGAGGTTTGAGTCACACACATCTGATTCACTTTTGCATTTATGAAGTTCACAAACACATTTCTTGAGTCGTTTTCCACTGTTTGGATCCAACAACCACGACAATGACGATGTCCAAATCCCAAAACTAAAATATGACAATATCAGAACCAGAAACAAAAGTGAAATGGTTCAAAAGACTTGAAAAGATCCACTTTGACAATAGACAACAGAACTGTAATAACCGTGACCAACAGAGGGCGCTAAAAGTCTGTTTAAGACTTTACGAAAGCAGAAGAAACAGTAACACAAACAAGAGTCGCCGGCGGTCGGTTTAAGATCACATCTGTTGGAAAAGAGTTGAGAAAATGAGGCGAGGCTGAGGTCAAAGTGTTTCGCAGCTGGTTTCAGTCACTTTTTTAGTTTTCACGGCTGTGCTCACTGCTGCCCCCAGTGTCCAGCTCGTGTTCTGAGGAGACGGACCTGATGACGGACAGAACCAGCCAGAGGACAACAGGAGTCTTCAGGTGGATGTGTGTCGAGAGCGTAGAACATGAAAGAGTCTTCAGACTGTCAGAGTGTGAAGACTCGGTGTTTTGTTGGAGATGAGCTGTTCTCGGTGCAGGTGTCAGACTGGGGCAGGTGTGTTTCTCTCCTAAACCCGGAGACTGAGGGACTCAAACTGCAGCTTCCATGAGGCGAACTCTGCTCTGGTGTTAATCCTCCACAACCTGGAATTTACACCAGGAGCTTCAGTGACACATGAGGCAGACAGAGCTGTGTGTGCATGAACTTTAACAAACTTCAGTTTACACCAGAGACGACAGGACGTCTGTGTCCTCACGTTTGACACTAAACTCTTTTTACTGTTACATCTTTGTTAATCGGATGAATTACGTTTTAAATCACAAAACAAAAGTCGACTGGAGATTTCACTCTCGTCTTTTCCTTCAGGACTTGTTCTTGTAAAGTTTTTGTTTGACAAAGAGCAAAGTTTAAGTGTAAAGTCGTAAAGTGTTTTAGATTTCTCCTCTAAAGTTTCTGTGTCCATCACTAGTCGTTCCTCGAGCTCCGGATGTGACGCTCGGTGTTTACGTCGCTGTAGGGGTTTTACAGAACTTATTTTGAAAGAGCATCACAAGTTTATTCTGACACCACGTGTTTGTTTCCTGTATTTCCTCTGATAAAAGTCGGAGACGTTCTGACGCTGAACAGTTACAACTCCAACCTGATGTGAGCGACGCTGCTGTCGACTGTTCAATGGTTAAAATAAAGACAGAGAAACCTGCGCTGGGTGGTCCAAAAAACTTCATTTTAGATTCTCTAGATTAGAACCTGCATTTGGTTCCATCTCTGGACAAAATATTTGAGTCCAAATTTTATGCAGATTAATATATATTTAGAGTTTTACTCAAGAGTCTTGAAAATGTCTCTAAACTAGAACAGAACCAAATAAATGTGGCCTGTTCCAAAACTGTGTGATTTTCTTCTGCAAACACAAACTGAAACAGAAAAGTTTGTGGTCAAGTGCAGCTCGTCTGTGTTTGTTTTTGTCTCTGAAGCTGCTCGTGTCTGTGTCTCCTGCAGTAGATCCTGTTTCTGAGCTTCAGTCTTTGTTCTTCAGTTCAAATCTTGAAGAAGCTTCAGCTCGTTTCAGAAACATCATGGACATTTTCCTGAAGCTCAGTTTGAGCAGCTTCAGCTTCAGTCTCATCATCATCAGCCCAGTTCTGCTGCAGGAACTGTCACAAATGAAGAAGAAGAACCTCCTCAAACTCCCTGATCTGCTTCTCTTCATGATCTGCTGGATGAAGGTCTTTGTCTCGTGGCTTTGGTGGAACCTCTGAACCTTCTGAACCTTTTCCATCAGATCGTGAAACATCAGTTTTTTCTTTAACTTCTTGGGTTCTTTTTAAAGACAATGCAGGAAAGTGTATTTACCTTGTTGACATGTTTTGGCTGCTGCATCTTCAAAATTGTCCTGGTGTTGGTGGTGACGTGTCGTAGATCATCTGTTGTTACTTCCTGTGGGCGTGGTCAGACCTGATGGACCTGCAGGTCGCTCAGACTGACCACGTCTCCCGTCGCCCGATGTTCTCTGGAGGAGGGTGTCCCAGGTGTGTGAAAGGAGGAACGCGCCGTCATCACGGTTAATGCTGCACGTGCCTCGTCAACAAGGTAAACACACTTTACTGCATCGTCTTTAAAAAGAACCCAAGAAGTTCAAGTAGATAAGAAGACAAAATGAACATCATGGGCTTAATCAGTTTCTTCTGTTCTTCTGTCACACTGGAGTGAAGAACATCAGGACAAACATTTCTTCACTCAAGGACCAAAGACGTCGCCCAAAACTGTTCAGGTGTTTTCTTCACGACTGAATGTTCAGACTCAAGCTTCTGAAGGAAAAACAAATCATCTGCAGGAGCTTCAGGACTTCAGCACAAACTTCATGAGCTCCTCTGAAACATCTCCTTTTTCCTCCTAAATCATCTTTTGGTCCTAAAACTGAATGCAGGTTCTAATTGAGGTTCTGAAACTTTATTTATTAGATTTGATGGACCAACCTGACCTGCGCGTGCTGCTGCTTTTACGCTCTTACTGCTCTGGTGTAAACTGGGTTTAACTCTGCTCTGGTGTAAATCCTCAAACTGATCTGGTCATTTGTGTTTGGGCAAAACTGGGCATCTGAACGGTGCCATGTCTGCCACGTCCGTGTTCCTCTGTGTCTCCCTGTGTTTGTGTTTGGCTTCTCTCCTCCCCCTGCTCTGCTCCTCCTCCTCCTCTTCTTCCTCTTCTTCCTCCTCTTCCTCCTCCTCCTCTTCTTCCTCTCCTCCTCTTCTCCTCTTCTCCTCTCCTGTGTGCCTTGTTGATGAGATCCGGTGGTTTCTCGTAGGGGCGGCGTCAGTCCATCCTAGTGCAGCCCCGTGTGGCTCCAGCCCCTCCCCGCGTGCCCAGGTAAACTCCGCCCCTCCCGCTGTCACGTCCATCCATCAAACGCCCCATCTGCTCTCTATGTCGTCCCTGCTGTTTGTCATGACACACCTCCGAGGTCACGCTGCGCTCACCGACAGGAAAAAACACAAACAAAACAAAAAACGTCAGAAGAATGTCCAGGAACGATTTTTCTTTCTCCTCTTCCTCTTCCTCTCCTCCTTCTTTTAAGCAAATCTAGTAAAAAAGGGTAAAAAAAAATTGTTCAGGAGCGTTTTTTTCTTCTGTAAATCTGCCCCTGGAGTTTCAGACTCACCTGTGGCTCTGTGCACCGTCGTTACTGGAGATTTTAAGCTGCTAAATGTTAAACGTGATGATCATTGTTCACGTTAGAGTTTTGTATCTGTGTATGTTCTGCACGACGGCCACAGACACGGCAGGTTATCTGTGTTTTTTTTACGTCCCTTCTCGATTTCGTTTGTTTCTCTTTCACTTCTGTTCGTTTCTTCGTGGTTTTTGTCGAGTTGCACTAAAATAATGACTCAGGTTTGGACTGATGGATGAACGATCCCTGAGACGTCACTGGAGACTCTGTGTGGACAGAGACCAGACTCTGTCCCTCTGCTAATGCAAACTCACAAAAACAAAGTTTTCATCTGTAGATTCACTCTGTTTGTAGAGTTTTTTATACTGAAGTCAGCATTAGCGTCGAGACAGAAAGAGCTGCCTGAATAAACTCCGTATCGTCTGGTCTTTGTTAGTGTGACTCTCTGTGATCAATGTTCACTGCACCAAATATAAACTTTATTTATTTTAGTGCGACTCTGTAAAACCCGTAGAATTATAAGGAGCGTGAAGACGTCGTGCACAGAGCCACCGGCCGAGGGAGAACACTGAAAAAGAGGTTTTCTCTTTTGTTTTTGCATCTGATTGTTTTCACACTTTTGACACAGGAGCAGATGATTTTTTCTCAGACGTTCCTCAGACGTTCCTCAGATGTTCCTCTGAGGTTCTGCTTCTCCTGATGGGGTCCGAGCTCCTCGTGTTCTTCTGAGGAGGTGGACTCCACATCTTCTCTGTCGCACATCCGTCTGTCTGTCATAAACTGGGCCACTTCAGCCTTCGACTTGTTCTTTTATGTTGAGACTTTTGGTCCAAACAGATAAAGTGACTAACCCCACAGCACCACAGCAGGGCCTGACGGGGGCAGTAGAGCTTCAGCTGGAGATGGTAAGTGTCCGTGTGGCTCTGCTTCTCTGGAGCACCTTCAGCTCTTCTCTAGCGCCCCCTGCGGTTCCTGAACCTCGGTTCAGTCCAAGGATTTCTCTGACATTGGTACAGACACGAGGCTGCGGTGGGTCAGTGGGTCGGCTCCTTTTAGGCAGGTGCAGAACGTTCACCTGTAGGTGGCGCAGTTCCTCTCTGCGCGGTCATGGGGTAAGTGGGGAGGATGTCAGGAAACATTTGGAGCTTGTTCCCAGCAGACTGGCTCTTTAATAAACATGTGAGAGCTGGGCACATGGATATTAAAGGACACACTGGAGTGGGCAGGGCTCGTGTTTGTGGCATCCTGTGCCCGGCCGTGGTGGCACCGTTTAGCACTGTGGTTCTGATTGAGAAGAGAAATGTTGGTCCTCTCAAAGTGAAGCTTCACTCGAGTCTGCGCTGGACGCTGTCAGACCCTCCTCCTCTGTCTCCCTCTCTAACCTCATCTCCTCATCTTCACTTCCTCTAGACGCTGCTTCTAACTCTGCCCCACCTCCCAAACTCCTGCCCCTTCATGTGTAGGCCCATTCCTCATGCGCTAGTCCAGAGCTTTGGCCATCGCCCTCACAACCAGATGACAGAGTTCAGGAGGTCTGGACTTTAGGCCTTACAGTGTTTACGGGACAAACACAGGGACGATGTTCACACTGCCTCATCCTCCTGCAGAACCTCCTGCAGATCCTCCAGAGCCGAGGCTTCATTACTCTCCAGAGGATCTCACAGCAGTCGTATATGAAGCCACACACACCTGATCAGACAGTCAGTCGTCTGTTAGTTCAGCCTGAGCCTGAGGGTCCTGTCAGTTTTAAGTCACACTCACATTTCCACTGTAAAGTTCTGAGCGACACAAACATGACTGAACACATCTGTTTGTAACGAGACTGAGGTCATGTCACTAAAATAGTTCAGTTATAATCGTGACAACAGAAAGGACCAGAGTGTTGGGCTCCGTCCTGGTCACATGTCTGTGTCTCTTTCAAACTAAAGCTTCCATTGGCCAAACTTCAGTCCAGGCTGAGGTCAGTGGTCCCACAGAGGTCAGTGCAGTGGAGCTCTGACGGGTGATGACCTCATGAATCTGTAGTCAAATGTTCAGAGCTAAATCTCATAGAAGTCCAACACAACATGATGCAACTTCAGCACAACCTTACATCCAGAATCTTTTCTACTGTCACAAACATAAAACATCATTTTGATCTCACAGACTGTAGTTTAACAGTGGACAGCTCCTCGAGCCGCCAGCAGATGGCAGCAGAAGCTCTGGACACTAGAGCTCGTCCTCAGACTCGTCCTCTTCGTCTGGTGATGTTTCTGTGTCGTGTCGCTCAGTTGATGTAAACAGGTTTTGTCTGTGTCTTGGTCTCGGTGGAGTCAGAACGACAGCGCCACCTGCAGTCGCACTTCCTCAGGACAGAATCCAGGAGTGTGAGAGGGATAAAGTCCCTCAACCTGGTTTATCGTCCCGTGGGCAGGTTTCTGTTTTTTGGTTGCCTCTTTAATCCAGAGACGATGTTTGTCGTCTTCTGTCTCAAGGCGTTCAGTCCACGAAAAAAAACGAAACACGAGCAACAAAACACAAAGCAGAACAGGAACAACTTAAATTGGTCGTTTCTGAGACAAGCACATTTTGGACTGAGACGGAGCCAACATCACTGGGACAGAGGAAAACACACGCTGTCTCTGGATTAAAGAGGAAATCAAAACATGGAAACCTTGCCCACTGGACGATAAACCAGGTTGAGGGACTTTATCCCTCTCACACTCCTGGATTGTGTCCTGAGGAAGTGGGACTGCAGGTGGCGCTGTCGTCCTGCCTCCACCGAGACCAAGACACAGACAAAACCTGTTTACATCAACTGAGCGACACGACACAGAAACATCACCAGACGAAGAGGACGAGGAGCAGGAGCAGAACAAACTGTCAGGACCAAAACAAACTCTGGGTCTGAAAAAAGAACCTAAGAACATGAGCGATCAGAAGCCCAGATGAAGCAGGTTGGACTGGAGCTCTGGAGTGTGTGTGGGTCTCAGTGGGCGCTGGTCTCTGGGCAGGGTTTGTGTTGGTTCCACCTCGGGGGACGTGATGCTCGACTGTTGACGCTCTAACGGTCAGACTGACGCACTGTCTCTGTGGCCTTTCTGTCGATGTTTCATCAAACGTGTAACTCACCTCGTCTTTTTATCTCCGTTTGTCTCCCCCACTCTCCTCTCGCTCACCCTCCATTATCAATGTTCTGATTTTTTACTTATTTTGGACTTTCCACATCACCTTCCTTCTTTGATTGGCGTCCGTCCCCATGGCCTGTGTTGGTCCATGTCCCCTCCCCCTCTCTCTCTATGTCACCAGGAGGCCCAGCTTCCCTCCATGGGTTCAGCAGACCCCGGTGTGAGGCACTCTGAAGGGGGAGCATCCGGAGCAGAGAGCCGGCCTCGGACGTCGGCGGGCGACGCCTCCGACCGCACCCCCCATAACGGAGTCCCTCCCTCTGTGCCCACGCCACTCCAACATCACAGCCCAAACGGAGAGCTCCATGGCAACCAAACCCCCTCCCCCGTAGCGACCAGGCAGGTTACCACGGCAACAAGCAGTGTCTCAGAGACGTGTCCGACGCCGCGCTGAGCCCGTCAGAGAGAGACTGTCCGGACTTTTCAAAGGGCTCACACGAACGGGGTTCCACAGCTGCTCGTCTTGCGGGACAAGACGCTGCCCCCTGCTGTTCGGCTCGAGCTGCAGCAGAAACAGCAAACACCATATGCAACGCAGACGGACGAGACGGCGCCGCCAGAAGAGCACGCCGCCGCCAGAAGAGCACGCCGCCGCCAGAAGAGCACGCCGCCGCCAGAAGAGCACGCCGCCGCCACTCGCCGTCCATCAGGAGTGTTTTCATGAAGAGCTCTGATCATCAGCGGCGGCAGGTTTAGTTTAGCTCCGTCTGAAGGCGTCAGAGCGTCGGAGCAGGTCCTGGTCTGGAGTACAGCTGGACTCTACTCTGTTCTGAGGCAGGACTCTTCTTCACACGGTGCCTGTGTGCACGGGCCTCAGCGACAGGTTCACACAGTAATAAAGCCTGTGGAGTGGGTGAGGACGCGCTGACTTCTCTGTAGTAAAACACGTGGAGGTGTGCGACCGCGCGGCGTCTCGTCGGTGAAAGGGCCGTGCAGGGTCCAGTGCCTTTGGCTGAGAGCTCGTGTCTGCCCCCGGTGGACGGGCAGGCGCTCGCAGGGGCCGGACGACAGGCTCAGGACTCCAGCTGCTTTTTCTCTTCTCAATCTCAGAACCAACACGTGACCAACTGGTGCTAACCACGCTGGAGCGGTGCAGGTCATCAGTGTGTGTGCTCTGTCCTGTGTCTCTGTGGACACGCCTCACACTCACGTTAGCGTTTATATTTGATACAACACACACACACTCACACACACCCCACAGCACATGTCCCCGTGTGTCCTCCGGTCTGCTCTGTGTGCGGCCGTGTGCGGCCTCAGGTCTTCTGTGTGTTCATGTGTCTGATGTGTGACGTTGTCGTGTCTGTGTGTGCGGGAGCCTCCATCTCACCGACCCTCACACGGGCTCATGTGTGTCTGTCCAATACCTCAGTGAAACCCTCGCGAAGACTCAGGTAACTCAGCCTGGAGCTGACGTGGCGGTGAAGACTGCCCAGGGTAAGGGCTCGTGCTCCAATCGCTCCGTGTTCTGTGTGTCTCCCCAGTCACTCTCACAGCTTCATGGAGGACAGTGTGGAACCTAACTGGCTGATGCGCCATCGCCAGTCTGTGGGGTGGCACGGCCAGATGTCCAGGGCACTGTCCCGCGACGCCATCGGTTGACAAAGAGAAAACTTGGGCCCCTAGTCCCAACGAGTTTGCACAAAGGAGCGCGCCGCCCCCTAGTGGACCACGCGAGGAGTGCGGCACGCCCGGGGCACTCTCTCTCTGATCGGACTGGCGGCGACGGGCGGCGACGGGCACACGCTCTGTGGAGCAGGGAACAGCTATGCAGCATGAACCATGCACAGGCCAAGCGTAGGGACCGGGAGAGAGGGCACTGCGGCACACGCTTTTAAAGGTGCTTGACTTTCTTCAAATGAACAAATATACCCTTGATTTCAAAGTAATTATTTTTATCATCTACTAATCACTATTGAAACTCTGAAACATGATTAATACTATTAGAAGTTATATATTACTACATAAAACAAATACAGACTCTTTTCTATGTGTTTTTGGTCCACTGTTTGAATGTATGTAAGACTGAAACTACCACATGAAATATGCACCGCTTTAAATCAAAACCTTTGCTTCACTAAACTTTGAATAACGGACGCTGCGTCCGGAATAGTTTATATTTCTATGATTCTTACACGGCCCAGTACAGACTGTGAGCTGGATTCTTCCGGGGGACAGACAGTTTATTTCTTGATACAGACACTGGGCTCTTTGGTAAAAGACAATCTCAGAGGCAGGACCGTGTGAAGTCCTCAGCCCTGAAACGGGCACCTCCCCGGCCATGGAGCTCTCCTCTGGCGCCTGATGTTGGATGGCTGCTGTAGACTGTGTTCTGCTCTGGACCTGAGCGCCGCCTCCACTCTGAAGGACTCCTGAAGCGCGGACGTTTGCGGGACTCGCCCGGCGATTCCAGCGGAGGAGAGAGTCCGAGCGAGTGTACATACGTGTGGGCTGTGGTGCCTCTCTCCCTCTCTGGGACCCGCTGCACTAGAAGAGCTCTCATACCAAGCTTGCACTCCTAAGGTTTTTCTATCTCCACTGGCTGTTTGTAAAGAGGATTTGTACATACGCCCAGAGCATTTCTTTGCAGACCATTTCCATGTGTTGAATTTTGACCATAGGTTCTACTGATATGTTTGCAGCGGTTGTTCTATATTTATTCCAGACAATATATTACTTGGTATTTTGTTCCCCAAAGTCTGCCTCTCGTGGTGCATTCCTCCAAGGGACAGGTGATTTTGTAGGTCTTTTCTGAATCGTGTGCCTCCCCCCTCCCCACGTACGCTCTGATCGGCTGCGTTCACGCCACGACAGCAGCAGAAGAAGACGACTCAGACCGGCTCTTTTCTTTCTTTGGCTCTGGTCTTCTTCCGCAGATCCGGACGGAGGGCAGGTCGCTCTTCCTCTGAGACAAACTGACTCGTGTTTTTGTACCAAAGTGGAGTCAGTGCGGGGGCAATATTCAAACCCCCGACTGTGATTTTAGACGAAGTTAGAGCCTCGAGATGCGACATAATCAGACTCTAAACCATCAACGCCACTTTAAAGGTCCAATATCACACAACACCGACTCCTGTGAGGTTCAAGTCGTGTCCAAACCTCCTCAAAAACAAACCTGCAGTTGAGTTTTGTTTGAGTAACTCTTTCTTAACGCTCTGTTCCACCTCGTGATGAAGCGGTGCACTGAACATTTAAAACTTACATCAGGTTATTCGTCTTGTTTTCAGATTTAGTATCGATTGACTATTAGAGATGTAACAGGAACTGAAATATGTTGATCTTGTATCGTCAAAGTTCTTACAACAATATCTTGGACCATCACAATAAATTGAATCACAAGTCCCTTTGCTTAAATGAAGAGTTCTGGTGCAACAACAGTTAAAAAATGGACATATCGATCTCCAAATCTCACGATACGATATTTATTGTGATATTTTGAAGAGGCTGATATAATTTTTTTGCTTTTGAAACACCTTGACAACATTTTGTTGCGAATTATTTCCATAGAATTCAAGTAAAAACATATTTCTTCATGTTTTCTGCGCTGAAATGAATCATGGGAAATGTAGTTCACCATGTTCATAAACTGTTGCTTCAATAAAACCTGAATTTAAACAAAGAAACTTATGATTCGATATATCGTAACAGTCCATGATATTATTGAGAGACTTTTGACGATACGATATCTTGATATTTGGGTTATTGTTACATCCCTAGAGGAAACTACACAGACCATGATCCTTTGCTCCATTTCAGTGCAGACGACAAGAAGAAATAACAGTTCGAACACTTTTAACTCTCAGTTCTTTGGATTAAGTTTTGTCAAGACATTTTAAGAGGAAAAAGTAGTTCACAGTTTGTTAGACTCCACAGAATATCACAATAAATATCGTACTGTGAGATGTTTATCGTGAAAAGAGATCTGGATATCGTTACATCCCTAATCATGAACTTTCCCACAATATCGCAATAAATATCGTCCCGTGAGGTTCAGATCATGACGATATCGTACCGTGAGACTTGGACATCGTTACACCTCTAGTCACTCTGTGTGTAGAATCTCAGTCGTCCACAGAAAAAGGAGAAATTCAGTTTGTCACCTGGACAAAAGTTGATTTGGTTGAATAAGTTTCGCTGCTCGGTCAAGCTGCTCGAACGGATTTTACCAAATAAACTTTGGCCAAGTGACACATTTAATTTCTCCTTTTGCTGTTTACATTTCTCATCTCAAAGTCGTTTATTTTAAGATAATTTGTTGAATAAAAATGATCTTGCTGCGTGGACACATCATTTTACTGCTTTTAAATAATCTTCTGATAAATTTAAGTTTTTATATCGGAAATTCTGGCCGAGCTTTTCCTCAGTGTAGTTTTAAAGCAAACTTCTTTTACCTTTAGTTCAGTAAAAATCGGTAATTCAAGGTTTAAAATGATCCAAATGATTCAAAAGAAAGTGTATGGAGTTTAAAAACACAGTGGAACAAGGTGGAACTGAGTGTTTTGTGCAGGTTTTGTGGGTTAAACATAAAACAAAACCAAACATGACTCCAGTGTGTCTGTGTGTCGAGGAAACGACGTTAGAACCGACATCAGAGAAACGTGTGATATTTGTTCTTTAATCTTGAGCTGGAGGCAGGTCAGAATTCTGCGTTGAAATTTGCCTTTTATTTGTCAATCAGTCAGATTTAAAATGCAAAGCGCCGCGTGTCTGACCTGAGCTCCGGCTCCGGCTCCGGCTCCGGCTCCGGCTCCGGCTCGGCTCCGGTCGTCGTCACTTCTGAGCCTGAAACAGAAACAGTCAAAGTTTATCGTCGATGATTCGCCCAGGAGGAGGTTTTTAGATCTTTCCTGCCTCTGTCCGTCTGCGCAAAAAAATGAAAGTGAAACGATTCTTTTTACTGCGTCGCTCAAACAGAAACGGTGAAGTAACTCTGGTCACTTTGGGCTTTTGTATCGACCAGAGGTGCTCCCGTAAACGTCCCCGCCCCCTGTCCCTGGGGATGACTCGGCGTGACTCGGCGCGACTCGGTGCGACTCGTGGACGTGAACGCAGCCCGTGGACGCGCCCCTTTGAGAAGCCATATGCCCCGCCCCCGTATGCCCCGCCCTCGTTTGTGCTTTTGACCGACAGACATTTGGGGATTGGTGTATCAATGGACGAGTGTATCGCAGTGGTTTATGAATTTGTTTGAATGTGATTATACAGACTTTTGATTCCTATTGTAATACTGATAATAATGAGGATTGCCTCCTTTGTTTCTTGGTTCTTTCATGCGGTGGATGAGACTCCGTCAGTGTGTGTGTGTATGTGTGTGGTGGGGCGTTCCCCAGAATTTATATTTTTCAGGAGGTTGAATATGGAAATAGAACTAATACATAATTAAATTAATAAACAAATAGTGAAATTCTTCTTTTGTGCGTCTTTCTTTGTGTCAGTGTCATTTTAAAGAGCCTCTGTGGGACATTAAAGAGCCCAAATATCACCACTACAACTAACACCAGTTTATTATGTGTAATGTTGTTTCCTCGTCACAAACAAACCTGGACTTGTGTTTTGTTTCATTCACACAAGTTTAACACACAAACCTGCACATTTATTTACATTTATATCATTATGTTTTATTTGACACGTTTCTTTTTTTTTTTTTTTTTGCTCTTTATTAGTGATTTATTAGTCATTTATTATTATTGTATTATTTTTACTCTTTTTATTTGCATGTATGATTATTATTTTTATCATTATTATTTATTTAATGTTATTTTTTTATTAGTAGTAATTTATTGTTATTTTATAGTTTTTAATATTTTAGTTTTTTTGTATTTTATTATTATTATTATTTGTAATTGTTTTTTTATTATTAGTGATTTATTATTATTTTTTATTATTTGTATAATTTTTTAAAAATTTATTATTATTTTTATTATTGGTGATTTATTATGATTTATTTGTGATCTTTAATTTATTTTATTATTATTTTTTTATTGTATTATGTTTTATTATTAATTATTTTTATTATTAGTGATTTATCATTATTTATTCGTGATTTTTTTTAAATTATTGTTTATTGTTTAATTTAATTTTATATTTTTATTATTAGTGATTTATTATCGTGTTATTAGTGCTGTTGTGACGTGTGACTTCTGTGTCCAAATTATTGCCTTTGTGGATCAGTAAAGTTTATCAGAGTTTTTAGGCAGAGTTGTTCCACTCTGTTCCACCTTGTTCATGACATCACAAAGTGGAACTGAGCGTTTGGAGCTTTGAAGATGTAGACAGACAAATAATAATAAAGATTTACTCAAACGTGTGAATGAAACAAAACACGACTCCAGTGTGTTTGTGTGTGTGTGTGTGTGTGTGTGTGTGTGTGTGTGTGTGTGTGTGTGTGTGTGTGTGTGTGTGTGTCTGTGTGTGTGTGTGTGTGTGTGTGCTGTGTGTGTGTGTGTGTGTGTCTGTGTGTGTGTGTGTGTGTCTGTGTGTGTCTGTGTGTGTGTGTGTGTGTGTGTGTGTGTGTGTGTGTGTGTGTGTGTGTGTGTGTGTGTGTGTGTCTGTGTGTGTGTGTGTCTGTGTGTGTGTGTGTGTGTGTGTGTGTGTGTGTGTCTGTGTGTGTGTGTGTGTGTGTGTGTGTGTGTCTGTGTGTGTGTGTCTGTGTGTGTGTGTGTGTGTGTCTGTGTGTGTGTGTGTGTGTGTGTCTGTGTGTGTGTGTGTGTGTCTGTGTGTGTGTGTGTGTGTGTGTCTGTGTGTGTGTGTGTCTGTGTGTGTGTGTGTGTGTGTCTGTGTGTGTGTGTGTGTGTGTGTGTCTGTGTGTGTGTGTGTGTGTGTGTGTGTGTGTGTTGTGTGTGTGTGTGTGTGTGTGTGTGTGTGTGTGTGTGTGTGTGTGTGTGTGTGTGCTGTGTGTGTGTGTGTGTGTGTGTGTGTGTGTCTGTGTGTGTGTGTGTGTGTGTCTGTGTGTGTGTGTGTGTGTGTGCTGTGTGTGTGTGTGTGTCTGTGTGTGTGTGTGTGTGTGTGTGTGTGTGTGTGTGTGTGTGTGTGTGTGTGTGTGTGTGTGTGTCTGTGTGTGTGTGTGTGTGTGTGTGTGTGTGTGTGTGTGTCTGTGTGTGTGTGTGTGTGTGTGTGTGTCTGTGTGTGTGTGTGTGTGTGTGTGTGTGTGTGTGTGTGTGTGTGTGTCTGTGTGTGTGTGTGTCTGTGTGTGTGTGTGTGTGTGTGTGTGTGTGTGTGTGTGTGTGTGTGTCTGTGTGTGTGTGTGTCTGTGTGTGTGTGTGTCTGTGTGTGTGTGTGTCTGTGTGTGTGTGTGTGTGTGTGTGTGTGTGTGTGTGTGTGTGTGTCTGTGTGTGTGTGTGTGTGTGTGTGTGTGTGTGTGTGTGAGGAGGACTCCACGTGAGAGCAGATCAGAGGAGCAGAGTGTGAGATGATTCACACGGTGTTGAACACATCGAGCTGCTGTGGTTCGTTTTCTGTTCTTCCCACTTGTCACCAGCAGAGGGCGACTAACAGAACAGCTCAGAGTCCATCACCTGAGTGACGTTTCCCCAATTAAACTCAAACCTGCACAAAAAAACACGTCAGTCATTTGTGCTGCTTTAGTTTTGGAGATTTTAACGATTCTTTTACAGGTCAAACTGGAGTCAGCAGCTCCAGGAAACTTCAACATGAAATAAAACGACACAAACTGGAGTCAGTCGTTTGTGCTTCATTTGTGTGATTCTGGTTTTTAAAATATGAACAGTTTTATTTTGGGCCGATGACTCAAAATGTGAAACAGCCTCAAAACAGCAGAAAATTAAACCAAACGTTTGTATTTGGTTTGTTCTGTTTTTGTGAAGAGAATCGACCTGAGTCTGTGGAAAAGTCTGTTTCAGTCTTTAGTCATTTACTTTAGATTCATATTTTCTATAATCACAGACTTTTCCACAGACTCAGGTCGTTTCTCTTCACTCGTTTAGTTTTTTTGTTTATTAAAGTCGCTGTCGTCAACTGAACCTCAAACATGATATTAATAATTTCAGAAATAAACTCACACAAATGAAAACAGTCACACACAAACCAAACACAAACGTTTGGTTTAATTTTCTGTTGTTTTGAGTCTGTTTCACATTTTTGAGGGGCTGATGACGTCATCTAAAATAAAACTGTTCATATTGAACCAGAATCACACAAAGAAAACTTTTACAGCACAAACGACTGACTCCATTTTGTGTCGTTTTATTTCATTTTGAAGTTTCCTGGAGCCGCTGACCCCAGTTTGACCAGTAAAAGAATCATTAAAATTTAAATATATTAATATTTACCTACAATTAAAGCAGCACAAATTCAACTTTTTGCAGCACAAACGAACTCTCGCGAGATCTGTGCTCCTCACTGTCTGTGAGAGAAACTCTCGCGAGATCCTGAGTGCTCACTGGCTGTAGGAGAAGCTCTCGCGAGATCAGGTCTTCTCACTGTCTGTAGGAGAAACTCTCGCGAGATCTTGGTTGCTCACGGTCTGTGGAAGAAGCTCTCGCGAGATCTGGGCTCGCACTGTGGGGAATGGCCGCCTGCGGAGGGATGGCCGCTCCACAGATCTGCTCCAGCTGACCGGAACCGAACCCCCGCGGCAGCCTCCCCCGACCCCCGGCCCCCCGTGCGGATGGGCACAGGGGGCACAGCGCCAACACACGCCGAACCCGAACCACAGAGACTCGGGACCGGAGCGGAACCGCCGTAGCCGCTCGTTAGCCTCCGCGCTAGACCCGGAGGACCCGGAGGACCCGCAGGACCCGAGCCCAGCGGCGGGCACCACTCCCGGGGAGAGAGGATGAGCGGACCGGGCCAGGACGCCGAGCCCGAGGCGAAGGTCCAACAGATCAAGAGACAATACAGGTGAGTCCGAACCCGAACCGAACCTCCCGACAGACCCGAGCCCCAGACCCGAGCCCCCCAGACCCGAGCCCCAGACCCCAGACCGCCCCAGACCCGAGCCCCAGACCCAACAGACCCGAGCCCCAGACCCGACCCAGACCCGAGCCCCAGACCCGACCCCAGACCCGAGCCCCAGACCCAGACCGAGCCCCAGACCCGACAGACCCGAGCCCCAGACCGAGCCCCAGACCCGAGAGCCCCAGACCCGAGCCAGACCCGAGCCCCCAGACCCAACAGACCCGACAGACCCGAGCCCCAGACCCGAGCCCCAGACCCGAGCCCCAGACCCAGACCCCAGACCCGAGCCCCAGACCCAACAGACCCGAGCCCCAGACTCGAGCCCCAGACCCGAGCCCCAGACCCGAGACCCGACCGACCCGAGCCCCAGACCCAACAGACCCGAACAGACCCGAGCCCCAGACCCGACCCAGACCCGACCCGAGCCCAGACCCGACCCGACCCCAGACCCGACCCGACCCCAGACCCGAGCCCGACAGACCCCAGAGCCCCAGACCCGAGCCCCAGACCCGACCCCCAGACCCAGACCCGAGCCCCAGACCCGAGACCCGAGACCCTAGAGACCCGAGAGACCCGAGCCCCAGACCCGACAGACCCGAGCCCCAGACCCGACAGACCCGAGCCCAGACCCGAGACCCCCCAGACCCGACAGACCCGAGCCCCAGACCCGAGCCCCAGACCCGAGCTCCAGACCCGAGCCCCAGACCCGAGCCCCAGACCCGGGGCTACACCGAGTCCTGTCTCCGGGTCTCGAACCCTCAGCCTCGGGTCTTTTAGGTTCATGTTCTTTAAGTGACTCGTGAGTTTTTGTTTATTTGTTGTTGTAGCTGAAATGTTTAATGTCACTGACAAAACCAGACGTCCCTGGTTCCCCGGGACAGTCCCAGTCCTGATCCTGTGCCCCCCCCCCCCCCCCCCCCCCCCCCCCCCGTGTCCCCCCCTGTCCTCTGTCCCACAGATTTATACAAAAACCACTGTTCTGTCCAAAGTTTATACAAAAATGTCCCAGTGTCTCTGTTTTGGACCAATCTGATCCTGCAACAGTAAAAAGAAACAACCTGTCGTGTTTTAATCAAGACCAAGTCCTCTGAGGGACGAGACCGAGACCGAGACCAGACCAAGACTGAGACAAGACCTGGGACAAGACCGGGACAAGACTGAGACAAGACTGAGACAAGACCGGGACAAGACCGAGACTTTTAAAGGCCGAGACCAAGACAAGACCTGGGACAAGGCCGGGACAAGGCTGAGACACGAGACAGAGACAAAACCAGGACAAAGCTGAGATGAGGACGAGACCAAGACCAGACTGGGACGAGGATGAGACCAAGACCGAGACCGAGACCAGGGCCCATTGAGACCAAATCGAGACTTTGTAATTTTTGACATTTGTTTGTATTTTACAGTTATTTTGGCAGAAATATATCAATGTTTTTATAAATTTATCTCCATTTTATCACTGGTCAAGTGTCAGACCTCGAGACCGAGACAAGAACGAGTCCAATCACGGTTTAGTCCGAGACGAGAGTAAAAGACTCTTGAGTCCGGTCTTGGACACTACGACACTAATAAACTCATTTGTTTTGGTAAAATTCTGAAAATCTGCTAAAAACAAACAAACAACCAAAACACAAAGAACCTGTGATGATGCTGTCGTTGGGGATTTTACCAAAACAAATGTCAGTTTATGTCTCTACATTTCACAGGGAACAAATTGGTCAGAAACAGAGACACTGGGACATTTCTTGTATAAAATTTTGGACAAATCAGTGTTTTTGTTTAAATCTGTGGGACAGAGACACAGACTCAGGACTGGGACTGTCCCGAGGAAAAAAAAAAAAAAACTATCATCATACTGCAATAACACAAACAGATTCCAACAATGGGAAGGAAATTAAAGCCTTAAACTCTTTGTATGAACAACACATTAAAATGATCCAGAGCACAGACTGAAATCTGTAGTCCATCTACAAAATAAAATCAAATAAAACACAATAAAACAGAGAGAGTAAAGTAGACTGAGTTCTCGCGAGATTAGACCTGGTTTAGACCTGAAAAAGTCCTGGTTTAGTCCTAAATTAGACCTGGATTAGATATGGAATAGACCTAGTTTAGTCCTGGTTTAGATCTAGTTAGACCTAGTTTAGACCTGTTTTAGTCCTAGTTGACACCTGGTTTAGTCCTGGTTTAGTCCTGGTTTAGTCCTGGTTTAGACCTGGTTTAGACCTGGTTTAGACCTGGTTTAGTCCTGGTTTAACCTGTTGACACCTGGTTTAGACCTGGTTTAGACCTGGTTTAGACCTGGTTTAGACCTGGTTTAGTCCTGGTTTAGACCTGGTTTAGACCTGGTTTAGTCCTAGTTGACACCTGGTTTAGACTTAATACAGTTTTATTTAACCCTGGTTTAGACTTAGTTTTTGAAGGAAATTAAAGCCTTAAACACTTTGTATAATTTAAATGTTTTATTAAAACAGCACAGACAGACTCTGCTGAAATATACAGCCTAAAAACAAAATAAAATAAAATAAAACACAATAAAACAGACGTTACTGAAGGCTGAGTTCTCGCGAGACTTCCCATCACAACACCGGGACCGTACGGGATTCTTGTCATTTCACTCAACTACACGACTTTATACTGAAATATTGCCCCAAAATGACACAATACTTCAGAATACAATAATAATAACGATTAAAACACGTATAATTAAACATACATAGACATATTGCACTGTGAGGATACGTGTTTAGAGAATGTGGAGGGTTTTATGTTGCGTAACGCTGACTGGAGCTGTTACATGAAAACTCCGTGATGTCTGCTCCAATAAACTGCTGTAGAATCTGCGTGTAACTCTTTAAATCGCAGGAATCGTCGTCTTTAAGCTCATATTTAACACTCCTCTTCTATTTTTACCCAAACTTTTACCAATTTAACGTTTAAGCCGCGTTTTTACCGCCCGGACCAAATGCCTGGGATTCAGCGCGTCTGCGGAAGTGCTAACGCGGAGCTAGCCCCTGGAGCTAAGTCCTGAGCTAAACTTCCTCCTGCGGCCACAAAAGTCTGAACTCTGAGGTTTTTTACATCAAAAAGACCAGATTTCAGAATTAAAAACATTTAAAACTGGGACACACCGGGGTGGGACTGTGGGTATAAATAAAATAATGAATAAATCGTGAAACATTTTTCTTTCTCGACTCTCGTGTGACTCAGATTTTAACCTGAAAATAAAAACAAAAACACGAAACAAATGTGATTTATTTTACTCTGGGTTAAACCTGGAAGAGAACTGCTCTAGTACTGGTCTAGACCTGGTTTAGAAGTTTAGACCTGAAATAGACCTGATTTAGCCCTAGATTAGATCTGATATAGTTCTTTTTTAGCCCTAGTTTAGTCCTAGTTTAGACCTAGAAATAGTCTTGGTTTAACCCTGGTTTAGTCCTAGTTTAGACTTGAAATAGACGCGATTTAGCCCTATTTTAAACCTGAAATAGACCTGGTCCAGCCCTAGTTTAGACCTAGTTTAGTCTTAGTTTAGACCTGATATAGCTCTTTTTTAGATCTAGTTTAGACAAAAAATAGACCTGAAATAGTCCTGGTTTTGTCCTGGTTTAGACCTAGTTTACACCTAGTTTAGACTTGGTTTAGATCTGAAATAGTCTTGGTTTAGCCCTAGTTTAGTCCTGGTTTAGACCTATTTTAGATCTTGTTTAGCCCTGATATAGTTCTTTTTTAGACCTAGTTTAGTCTTAGACTTGAAGTAGACCTGGTTTAGACCTGAAATAGACCTGAAATAGTCCTGGTTTAGTCTTGGTTTAGACCTGAAATAGACATAGTTTAGCCCTACTTGAGTCCTGGTTTAGACCTTGTTTAGCCCTGGTATAGTTCTGGTTTAGCCCTATTTTAGTCTTAGTTTAGACCTTAAATAGACCTGAAATAGTCCTGGTTTAGTCTTAGTGTGGTACTTGTTTAGATCAGATTGGTCATAGAGACTCTGGGACATTTCTTGTGTAAAACTGGGACGAATCAGTGTTTTTGTGTAAATATGTGGGACAGAGACACAGACTCAGGACTGGGACTGTCCCGGGGAAACAGGGACGTCTGTTTATCTTTTAAACTCCTGTGAAATGTGTTGATTTGTTCCTTAAAGCGCCATGACGGTTTAGAGCGCTCGTTTCACTCAAACACACTGAAGATCATTGTATTTAAAGGTCCTGTAGACCTCACGAACTCTGACCCCGTCTGTTCTCCTTCACGATGTCCCAGACGCTCTGACTCTAACCTCGTCTGTTCTCCTTCACGATGTCCCAGACGCTCTGACTCTGACTCGTCTGTTCTCCTTCACGATGTCCCAGACGCTCTGACTCTGACTCGTCTGTTCTCCTTCACGATGTCCCAGACGCTCTGACTCTGACTCGTCTGTTCTCCTTCACGATGTCCCAGACGCTCTGACTCTAACCTCGTCTGTTGTTCTTCACGATGTCCCAGACGCTCTGACTCTAACCTCGTCTGTTGTTCTTCACGATGTCCCAGACGCTCTGACTCTAACCTCGTCTGTTGTTCTTCACGATGTCCCAGACGCTCTGACTCTAACTCGTCTGTTGTTCTTCACGATGTCCCAGACGCTCTGACTCTGACTCGTCTGTTCTTCACGATGTCCCAGACACTCTGACTCTACCTCGTCTGTTGTTCTTCACGATGTCCCAGACGCTCTGACTCTAACTCGTCTGTTGTTCTTCACGATGTCCCAGACGCTCTGACTCTGACTCGTCTGTTCTTCTTCACGATGTCCCAGACGCTCTGACTCTAACTCGTCTGTTGTTCTTCACGATGTCCCAGACGCTCTGACTCTAACCTCGTGTTCTCTTCACGATGTCCCAGACGCTCTGACTCTAACCTCGTCTGTTGTTCTTCACGATGTCCCAGACGCTCTGACTCTGACTCTGACTCTACCTCGTCTGTTGTTCTTCACGATGTCCCAGACGCTCTGACTCTAACTCGTCTGTTGTTCTTCACGATGTCGTCTGACTTGTTCTTCTGACTCTTCGTCTGTTGTTCTTCACGATGTCCCAGACGCTCTGACTCTAACTCGTCTGTTGTTCTTCACGATGTCCCAGACGCTCTGACTCTGACTCGTCTGTTCTCCTTCACGATGTCCCAGACGCTCTGACTCTGACTCGTCTGTTCTCCTTCACGATGTCCCAGACGCTCTGACTCTGACTCGTCTGTTGTTCTTCACGATGTCCCAGACGCTCTGACTCTGACTTGTCTGTTGTTCTTCACGATGTCCCAGACGCTCTGACTGACTCGTCTGTTCTTCAGACGCTCTGACTCTGACTTCTCCACGATGTCCCAGACGCTCTGACTCTGACTCGTCTGTTCTCCTTCACGATGTCCCAGACGCTCTGACTCTGACTCGTCTGTTCTCCTTCACGATGTCCCAGACGCTCTGACTCTAACTCGTCTGTTGTTCTTCACGATGTCCCAGACGCTCTGACTCTGACTCGTCTGTTCTTCACGATGTCCCAGACGCTCTGACTCTGACTCGTCTGTTCTCCTTCACGATGTCCCAGACGCTCTGACTCTGACTCGTCTGTTCTCCTTCACGATGTCCCAGACGCTCTGACTCTGACTCGTCTGTTCTCCTTCACGATGTCCCAGACGCTCTGACTCTAACTTGTCTGTTCTCCTTCACGATGTCCCAGACGCTCTGACTCTGACTTGTCTGTTGTTCTTCACGATCTGTCCTGTTCTAGACGACTCTGGCTTCACGATGTCCCAGACGCTCTGACTCTGACTCGTCTGTTCTTCACGATGTCCCAGACGCTCTGACTCTGACTCGTCTGTTCTCCTTCACGATGTCCCAGACGCTCTGACTCTGACTCGTCTGTTCTCCTTCACGATGTCCCAGACGCTCTGACTCTAACTTGTCTGTTCTCCTTCACGATGTCCCAGACGCTCTGACTCTGTTGTCTGTCTTCACGATGTCTAGACTCTGACTCTGACTTGTCTGTTGTTCTTCACGATGTCCCAGACGCTCTGACTCTGACTCGTCTGTTGTTCTTCACGATGTCCCAGACGCTCTGACTCTGACTCGTCTGTTGTTCTTCACGATGTCCCAGACGCTCTGACTCTGACTCGTCTGTTGTTCTTTTGTGCTCAGGGCTGTGGTGGAGTCTGTGCACAAGCTGGACCTCATCATCGGCAGTAAAGCGTCGTACAGAGAGGTGTTCAAGCCCGAGAACATCAACCTACGGAACAAGTGAGTTCACTGACCGGGGCTGGGGCTGCAGAGACTGGGCTGGGGCTGGGTCTAGTCTGGGTCTGGGTCTGGTTCTAGTCTGGTTCTAGTCTGGGACTGGGTCTGGGTCTAGTCTGGGTCTGAGTCTGGGTCTGGGACTGGTTCTAGTCTGTGGCTGGCACTGGTTCTAGTCTGGTTCTAGTCTGGGTCTGGGTCTGGTTCTAGTCTGGGTCTGGGTCTGGTTCTAGTCTGGTTCTGGGTCTAGTCTGGGTCTGGGTCTAGTCTGTCTGGTCTCTGGTTGGTCTAGTCTGGGTCTGGGTCTAGTCTGGGTCTGGGTCTAGTCTGGGTCTGGTTCTAGTCTGGTCTGGTTCTAGTCTGGTTCTAGTCTGGGTCTGGGTCTGGTTCTAGTCTGGGTCTGGTTCTGGTCTGGGTATAGTCTGGGTCTGGTTCTAGTCTGGGTCTGGTTCTAGTCTGGGTCTGGTTCTAGTCTGGGTCTGGGTCTAGTCTGGGTCTGGGTCTGGTTCTAGTCTGGTTCTGCTTCTAGTCTGGGTCTGGTTGTAGTCTGGGTCTGGGTCTAGTCTGGGTCTGGTTCTAGTCTGGGTCTGGTTCTAGTCTGGTTCTAGTCTGGTTCTGGTCTAGTCTGGTTCTAGTCTGGTTCTGGGTCTAGTCTGGGTCTGGTTCTAGTCTGGTTCTGGGTCTAGTCTGGGTCTGGGTCTAGTCTGGGTCTGGTTCTGGGTCTAGTCTGGGTCTGGGTCTAGTCTGGGTCTGGTTCTAGTTTGGGTCTGGGTCTAGTCTGGGTCTGGGTCTGGTTCTAGTCTGGTTCTGGGTCTAGTCTGGGTCTGGTTCTAGTCTGGTTCTGGGTCTAGTCTGCGTCTGGTTCTAGTCTGGGTCTGGTTCTAGTCTGGTTCTGGTTCTAGTCTGGGTCTGGTTCTAGTCTGGTTCTGGTTCTAGTCTGGTTCTGGTTCTAGTCTGGGTCTGGTTCTAGTCTGGTTCTGGGTCTAGTCTGGGTCTGGGTCTAGTCTGGGTCTGGGTCTAGTCTGGGTCTGGGTCTGGTTCTAGTCTGGGTCTGGTTCTAGTCTGGGTCTGGGTCTGTGGTAATGAGTCTCTGTTGTTTTCAGGTTGAGGGAGCTGTGTGTTAAACTGATGTTCCTGCACCCGGTGGATTACGGTCGGAAGGCTGAGGAGGTCCTCTGGAGGAAGGTCTACTACGAAGTCATCCAAGTCATCAAGACCAACAAGAAGGTGAGAAACACTCAAAAACACGACCAAAAGAAGGTGAAGTCAGAAACACGACCAACACACGAGAAGCTGTAGTGAGCCCAGAGTCCTGCTGCTGTCCTCTGTGGAGAAACACCTCGCATTTCTATTTTCCAAAACATGTGCAGTGACATTTCTACTGAAGTCGAGAGGGTCACAACAAACGCCGCAACAAATACAAATGCGACAACACAACAAAAAGCCACAACACATTAAAAAGCCACAACATATTAAAAAGCCACAACGGAAATGACCGCGGGACTCTATTTTAATG